GTTTTTTAAAATCCGATGTGTGGATCACATAATATTTCAAAAATTTTAACTTTTGAGTATAGATGATCCGCACTGTAGCACTCCCTTTTTACAATATGATCGACATTCAATTTGAGCATAAGATTATCCAAAAAAGGTAACGAGTTTATTACACAAAATATTAAAATATATATTAATGTTAATATTTTTATAAAAAAATAACAAATGAAAAAATTTTATTAGCCTAATTTCTTCCATGAACTTTTGCAAACATTTTTGAAATATTGTATATTAATATGATGATTTAATATGAAAAGGTGTATAATTTTCTGTATAGTTGGCTTGGTTTAAAGACCTCCTAAATTTTGAGCAAATTTTAAAAGTATAGAAGTCACTTTCTGTCCTACCTTTTAAAAAAATAGCTCTATTAGTTTTTCTCAAAAAAAATTATTTGTTGTAGAGTTCTATTCTTTTTAAAACATGTACTTTACTATGCTCGCGAGGAATTTTCCACTAAGATCATTTCTAAATTTAGGAAAAATATTACCAAATTTAGACTAGCTCTTGACTATCGTATCTAAATTTGGCAGTAAGAAAACTAAAATCACGTGAAGTCCTATTTTTTGAAACATTTTTGAACGAATTACAAAATTGATATTTTGAAATTTGGCCGCATGGCACAGCAATAGGAGGTTTTTAGACTGAGCCAACCATACTTCCTAACACATTGTAATAATATTATTATCGCTAAATAAAACACATAACATATTTTACCCAAAAAAATAATAATAATCTAATTAATTAACAAATCACAAAGGGGAAACCTTTGCTGCACCTAGCAAATAGCCAACATTCTAATTATTGAGAAACATCTCAAGGGGACGCCTTTGGTATATCATTACCTATATAGATCCTAGGGACCCTTTTATCTGAAAAGATAAAAGTTATATTTTTATTAAACTTTGACCGTAAGTCAGCGGGTAGGCTGTGTGTTGAGCTATAAACAACCTATTAACTAGGAAACTCGGATTGCACGCTCGCAACATTAATTTTTTTGATTTCCCTCAAGATTTTTAAAAATACAAAATTTTACCATATATAAAAATCAGAAGTTGTATTTACAAAGTGGCTGCTGGTGTAAAAGAATAAAACTCCAAATTAGTAAATGATTGTTTTGCTAAAGTTGACTTAACACATCACCAATAGTTCAACCAAGGGTCCCAACCCTGATCAACAATAAAGAAGTTAAATAAAAAATGGAAGATCAAAAGATCTATTTTTTAATTCACTTTGAGAATAATATTGCTTGGAATATATTTTGAGTGATGATGATTTAGTTCGTGAAATGTATAACAATTCGGACACATCTAGAAGAGTTTCTCATTAGAATTATCTACATCTACCAATTTTCTGTGTTGCACTACTAATATTACTATGTTCTTATAAAAAATTCTTTCGACATGAGTGTGTTTAGTTATGAATTGGTGTTTTGTATTGATGAAAGTCACCTTCTTACTGAAACTTGGAAATAGCATTACATATATCATTAATATTAAATGGTTTGTTTTTTAACATATTAGGAATAGTACTTTAAAAATCCGGATTTTCTTTTATTATTATTATTAACTTCTGGAAAAGAGTTGCCGGATGTTTTTCCATAAAATTTCCTTTTAAAAATTACTAGTGCAAAAAAAAGCACGCCAATATGTGTGAAATTAATAAACTCGCTCTACGGGACTGTGGTCTAGATCCAGAATGATGCGTGAGTTATGTTTTAACGAATTAATTGACAATTAACAGCTTTCTTTAATCATGAATGGATTCAAGAGAATACAATCAATCTTTACGAGTCATCAGTTGAGGAATTTATGCCTATAATAATATTAGAAGAAAATTGGATGAAATTAAATTTGGAATGCAAAGTTATTCGATGAAATAATAAAGAATTAGAAAAGATGGAAACAAAAATGATTGGGAGAATTTCATTGTTTTTTATTTATAAATGAGTGTCTTCCCACTTTATTGTGCTACACGATAAAAAATTGAAAAATTAAACCTCATATCATATTTATTATTCATCAATATTAAAAGAAATCTTTATAGTTAATTGATTAATTAGTCGCTTCAATTTGTATTTTAGTAAACGCAATTTGTTTCGATTTCTTTCTAAACTCAAAACTTTTTTACAGGTTAGTTGATTATAGATTTTTGCTTTTCGTTTGAACCGAGAAAGAATTAGATCTGTTTAATTTGAATCGAAAATTAGTAAAGTAAAAAAATTTACATATATTTATTTATAAGAATGAATGTTTTTATTTCATTTCAATTTAAAAATACGTACATGCACACGCACTGATTTAATTGATTTATAAATTTATTTATTGGAAAGGTTAAATTTATAATTTTAATTATATTTGATTTAAAAGTAAATTGAAAAATATAACCAATTTTTCCTTTGTTTAAATTATCACAGAATTTATTAAATTGAAATATTACAAGATGAACGAATATCATCATTTAGAGGTAAAAAATATTTTATTAATCAAATCAATTATTTTGATAGTGGACAGGTACAATAATTATATATATTTTTATGAGATCAATAGATACGATCAATATTTGAGAGAGAAATATTTCCAGTTAGGAATTTACGACTTTGGGTATGTTGATAACATATAGTCTTCTTTGCCCAATATAAACAATTATTAAACAAAAAACTTTTTTGTCAAAATATGTAGAAAATGAACTTGATGGCTGTATCAGAATGTCAAAAAAATATTTTTTATCTAGCTGTTAAGGATACAATTCATGTTTATCGGTTAAATTTGTTAAATGAAAAACCTTTTACGGATCCAATTAAAATACTAACAAGACCCAACAACAACAACAACAATAATGATGATGATTATGATTATGATAATAATAACAATAATACTGATGAAACTGAAGAAAATGAGGTGAAAATTTTATTAAATGATGAAATTTTCCTTTATTTATACATTTAATATTAACTTATTTTTTGATTTTAATTCAAGAGGCATGTCATTAATGCTATAAAAGTTGGAAAAATTGGTTACGAAGAAGTTCTTGTTAGCGTTAATGAACCTGGTGATATTGTGGTTTGGTACACATCAAATCTTGATAGGAGACCATTACACTTCAGGTACATACAACCTTTTTAAATCAATTAATCAAGTATTTATTTATCAAGGAAATAAGGAAATGATTTATACATTGCATATAACATCATAAATAAAGTCATAATACATCGACTTGGGGTATAGCATTGAATGGACCAAAACGTTTATTAGCAGTTAGTGCAAATTCCCATGAAATAACCATTTTTGATCTAAAAGGTGGGAATTCAATATATTCAGATGAAAATAATGACGATCAAATTGAAAAAAATCATGATGATTCTGATGATAGTTTAGATGGTTCACAACAATCAAGAGGAAGGAGAGTGAAGATGAGATACGCAACAACGACAACAGAACTATCATCATTACAAAATAAATTTGGAAATGATGAGGCTAAATATATATTAAAAGGCCATAATCACAATATTCCAAATATTTCATTTAGTAATTGTGGTCGATTTTTAGTTTCTTGCAGTCTTGATCGAACATGTAGAGTTTGGAATGTTAAAACTGGTGAGGTAATCAGCACAAGAAAAGTTAGTAGTCATGGGTAAGATATATATGTGTGTGTGTGTAATTGATTGCTTAGTGTCTGTACTATTATTATTTATCAATAATAGTAATGATTATCTTTATTATTATTTTTTTATTCATAATTATGTAAAGGGGATGGTCGGCATGTTTTGTATCAACACATTCTTTTGTAAAAGTAAATTCTAACATCGAATTTATCAAAGATCCATTTGAATTAAGAAGAAACAGAAGAGTTGTAGGTGTATCACCTTGGTCTCCAAATTGGTCACCACAATATCCACCACCGATACCAACACAACAACATGCACAAACATTGCCACATTATTCAGCGACATCACCGCCTCATTTTGCGCCAACAATACCAACATATTCACCACCAATATCGCCGTCATATTCACCAACATCACCATTATATTCGCCAACATCGCCACATTATGACCCAACATCACCAACACATTATTCACCAACATCGCCACAATACAACCCAGCATCACCAATTCGTGACGATTCGCGTACTTCAGATATTCTACAAAATCTAAGGAATGGTAATATTATAATTCGTAATCCTCGTGTTGCAATTCAACTTTTAAATAATATTCATGCCTACCAAGATATTATGGCTTCTTCAGAAACAGAATATGAAGACGGGTATTATGACAATACGCATGAAAATGATGACGAGAGTCAAATATCAGAGAGTCAAAATGACGAAGGTGAAGAAGAGTTGGAAGTGGAAGTGGAAGTGGAAGTGGAAGTGGAAGAGGAAAGAAGAACCGGGGGTAATAATGATAATTTATATTACGTTGATACCTTTTTTTTTATCAAACCCCCCCCCCCCCAATTTAAAGTTTAATTATAATTCACTTTCAATTTGAATAAGGTTGGTTTCATGACGATGAAGCAATGAATGACGACGATGATATTTATGGTGGTGAAATAAGCAACGGCACTATTGACGAAGAAGCGTCATTATCAATTTCAGAACGTTCTTCTGATGGTATATGATTATTATTTCTATAAAACTTTATATATAAAATATACAATAAATTTTAAATTAAAATTATACATGTATATTATATATAGCATCTACAGGTAATTCGCAAATATTAAACTTGGAGTTATCACCACCCAGGGTATATACAGATATAAATGATGAACTAGTATATATTCACACGCCAATTCCAGAATTACCGCCGCCAACTAACCTTCCACCCGATTCCTCATTTACAGGTAAATTCTCCATCTTCTAGAACTATTCAAATCTTAAATATTTTTTATATAATTAATTTTAAATTTATTAAAATTTTTAGGAGGTTTAAGTGCGACAACAAGCAA